ACGTGCCGTCGTCACCAGGGTGGGTTTGAGAACACTTAGAACCTCAGAAAGGTACTCTGTACCCTCTGCCCGTCACCCCCTAGCTTCCCACCCCCCTCTGCCTGCCCTGAGCAACCTCCGGTCATCTACTTTTTGTCTCCATGGACTTGCCTATTCTGGATATTTCTCATATATATATATATATATATATATATATATTCATTATATATATATTCATTGTGTGTGTGTGTGTGTATGAGAGAATAACGCCGTGTACAACTTGTACAACTTACAAGTTAACAGTCATGCACAACTTTTTGTGTAAACTCATGCTTTCATTCCCCTTGGGCACATGCGAAAGAGCAGAATTGCTACGTCAGACGGAAACCGTATGTTTAACCACCTGGGGAGCTACAGGCAGTTTTTTCAATATGGCTCCCCTTTTAATTTTGCCCAAACATGGGAATCAAGCCATCTTTCCAGTGCAGGCACCTACCTTACTTTGGATACATTTTTGTATTAATAATTTTCCTAAGGCTTAGTTTTCTTATTATGTACATCTTTTTTTGTTTGTTATTACACTTTTATGTGAAATGTTTCCAGGGGACATGACTTGAGCGGTGGTCTGCGAAGTGGACGGCGTGCACCTTCAGGGCACGAGGCGATTGATTCACTGGGAAGTGAGAACCAAGGCCATTGCCACGCTGCCTGCTAATGACAGAATGCCTTAGAATAGCGGTGCATCCGGGAGGCTTATCAATACATAGTTCTGCATCAGAGATGCGTGTGCCAAGGTTATAAATAGGAAGGTGTGATCATAACGTTCCAAGGAAAACTGTTCTGACGACATAAAATCAAAAATAACTGTGTGCTTCTTAATCCTGTTTTGTGACAAATCTGATGGGGAGCACTTTTAAAATAACTTTGCTAACAAAACGTGGAGACTTCCCTGCTAATTTTAGCCCCAATGGAACATGTAAATGGAGTGCAAAGGGCTTTGGATCAGGTGTCAGACTTGTGTTCTGCTGCTGCTGCAGCAGCTGGTTACTAATGGTGAGGCCCTGGGCCCGTCCCCTCACGGTGCCTGACTGTGTCGGCTCTCAAATGGGCCCAATAAAACCTGAAGTAGTGCAAGTTGTCATTGCGCAGAGAGCAAGCAGGAAACGTGACCTGGTCAGTGACCACGGGAAGTTGTCATTTGTGTGTCTTGGGCAACCAAGCAGTATTTTAAGACAAAATATCCAGCATTCTGTCATCCTTGCTTTCATCCGGTCTTCCCTGTCTCACTGCCGCACCCCCCCGCCATTTCTCTCACCTGCGTTCTGCCCTCCCTCTGTGCTCTTCCGACAGCAGGCCTCACAGCTGAGGGTCCCTGCCCCAGGGTGCACTGGCCGTGGAGGACTCCACGTGACGCCCCCGTTGCGGTGTTTCCTTCCTGGGTCCTTCGTATGAGGACACGGTGTTCGGCACACGCTGCGGTGAAGGCGCAGGCGTGTGGGAGTGCAGCGGACGCGGAGTCCTGGCCGCTCCGATGGGAGCGGTGGCGTCCCACCTCTGAGCATCTTCCCGGTTTCTGTTGGATCTGCGCGAGTCTGAGTGTGTCAGCGTCTTCGGGGATGTGGTCCTCTGTGTAAGGCCAGCGCACCAAGGGAAGTGGTTACGAAGAGAGGTGAAGAGGTTCTGGGGAGCCAGCCGTGCCCACCAAACGGAGGCGCAGACGCCGTGGTTAGAGACCTGTTCCCTCTCTGGCCGCCGGCGCTTGTTTATTGCTGGGCACGCTCAGGAGGACACCATCAAGTTCACAGCAATGAGATTTACCTTTCCCCTCAACTCAGGTGTGCGGTTTCTAACCCCCAACATCCTTTCTCAGGGAACGGCTGGCGGACAGCTGGTGGTCTCCGGCTTAGTCTACAGGGTGACGTCCTTCCTTCACTTCTTTTCGACATAACCGTACTTTGAGACTGTCCATTCACGTGTCTGTGTGTTTTTTTTGCTCAGATACTCAGAATATATTTATGAAGCACCTATTATGTACCTCTGTTCACATTAGTCTCCAAAATAAAAATTAAAAAAACTTGCTCTTTGGGATTTTACATTCTAAGGGGTGTCCTCCGTCATTGAGGTTAAATCAAACGGGGGCACGTGCTAAGGAGTAAAGAGAACAGTAAGAGTTAGCAAGGCGGGGAGGAACTATTGGGAGGCAGGGACAGTTGCCGTTACTTTTATGGTGGCTGGGAGGCCTCCCTGGGAAGCAACATTTCAGATGAGTCTTTGCTATGAGGGTCCCGCTTGCGTCTTCGGTTGGTAGCGCTGGGCGGAGAAAATCCGAAATCCTGGATCTGAGTGTTTGTGGAGTGCCTTGGACATCGTGAGGCGTGTCAGGAGCTAAAGCTGCACCTCTGCCCTGGAAGTGCAGGCCGCTCATGGTGTGAAAGACTTTTGTGGGGTGCTTCTAGGTCATGGGGGCTCACACCCAACTCAGTCGCCCACCCCGCTTAAACAGGTTGCATCTCTGCAGCCGGCCCCGCGGCGGCCCTGGCGGTGGAGTCGCTCTCGTCGGCACCCAGCACCACCCCCTGGTGGGCGAGGGCCCATCTGCAATGGTTTGTCGGGGGAGTTCTGGGCTCTCTCTCTCTCTGTCTCCAGGGCCTTCGCTGCTGCCTGTGCTTACCCTCCATAGGAAAATCTCGGTAGGAATGATGGTAAGCTTTGCAACTCGATTGCTCGACCTTGAAAATGTTTTTGGAAACGGACTTTATCTTTGTACCTAACCGTCTCTCATGCAAGGGACCCCACGTCTGTCTGCCAGTGGGAAACCCTGAGTAGGCTTCTGCCATTTTATAAAAAACAGAGTCATGCTTTCCTTTTGCAACAATAACACCAAACATGACTGGAGCGGGAAGGTTGTGCGGCGGAGAGAAATGGGCATGCGCGGGGAGATGTGCAGTCGGGAGGAGGAGGAGGACTGAGCCCTTGGGGCAGCAAGTGCCGCCGGTTCCCGCTGCATTCTGGGATGCTCTGTGCATGAGGGGTCGGAGTCCGTGCCGTGGTTTCGGGGGGGCAGGTACACACGTGTGCGTCTCTCCAAAAGAAACGACCTCGACACGAACGCCCCCAATCAACAACACCCAAGGATTTCTCATAGAATGTTCACACATGCTTTTTGGGGGGGTCTATCTGTGAGTGTTCGGTGGGGAAAGTTGCATATCTTTAGCAAACACGGATTTACCTCCATCCCTGTGTGAGTCACTCTGCCGCAGTGATAAAGCAGCTGTGCCCATCACAGAAGTGATTTCTCCAGCCCGTGACTTGACTTCCCCTTTGTTGGATTTGACCCTTTAGTCCATAACCTCGACTGAGCCCCCGTGGGCAACCCCGGGACCTGGCCGAGGACAGATAAGGCCGCTGCGGCCTCGGTTTAGAGCCTGGGGGGTGGAGGGGGAGCGACGGTGGGAGCTAAACAAGCATCAGGAAGTGAGAACTCCCATGATGGCAATTAAGCAAGGTGCTGTGGCAGGGCGGAGCGGGGGAACTGCTCGAAGACAGGCAGTGAGGAAAGACTTCCTGAGGAAGTAATTCATCAGCCGAGGCACATAACAAGACAGAAAGGAGCCAGACGTGGGATCGTTTGCAGGAGAAGCATCCCAGGCAGAGGGGTGGGTGGGAACGGCTCCCACAGCGTGGGCCAGAGCTCGCTGCGTGGGGGGAGCGAAGATAAAAGACAGACGTCTGCGGGTCAGGGACATGGCATGCAGTGAGGACAAGGTAAGACTTTGAGATTTTGTTCCAGATTTGATGGGCAGCTTTTGAAGTTTACAAAAATTCTCCCCAGATACCTTTTGACGATAAATAGACAAGAGTAGAAGCAGGGGGACCCCCCAGGGAAATAGCCAGAGGCCGAGGCGGGAGAAGGCGGTGACTTAGAGCAGGGTGGCATCACTATAGAAATGAACTTGCTAGGAGGTTAAAGATAAGGACCTAGAGGATCGGAGGTGCCTGTGAGGTTTGGTAACATCAGCTGTTGGAAAGTGTGTTTTCTGAGATGAGGCGGACTGGGGAGGAACAGGTTTGGGGAAATCAGTGTCCGGTTTGGACGTATCACGATGTGATGCCCACTGGACATGTGTCGAATAGGCAGTGAGATATGCGAGCCCAGAGTTCAAGGGCAGGTCAGAAACAGATCTCCGTGGCAGCCTTCAACCTACCCATGCACCCGCCCTTTATTTAGGCTGAAGTCTCCTGAGCTCGCTGCTTCTGTCTCTAGGCGTTCCCCTTTCTGACCTTGCTGTTGATGCTTGCTTGGAGCTTTCCAATGTCAAGGACAGCAGGAGAACAGTAGCAAGACACTGTGTGGGTCTGTAATTACAGAGAGCTTCCCATTTGTGTAGCTCCTGACATTTACTAAAGGTAAAAGCTGAGCTTAAAGTTTGCGGGCTGTTGTTTTAGATTCTAGGTTTAGATTCTAGATTTACAGTGCTCTTTCGATATTATGGTCTAATTGTAATATTGCCATGGTGATATAAATAAGTACTATATAAGCTGATGTAAGTTACCTGAAACAAAGTTTTTACTGCAGCTGATTGTCCTTAGTCTCCCGTGATATTGTCTATTCTGTTGAAATATAAACACAAACTAAACAAAAATAAGAAACTGGGAAAACGTTGTCTTAACTTTTAGATAATACTCCCATTTTGGGTTGGACATTTAACTTTGTTGGATTAACACGCAGATGTTTTGCATTTTTATCTGTTTTAGCAATAGTATCCTTATACGACTTCATCCTTTCCACAAAAGCAATCTCCTATGATTTTTGTGCTTTGAAAACCCTTTCTTACCCTCTATGTTTGCTGCTAGTTTATGACTGATTTTTTTTTTTACTTATAAATCCAAATGGATTTACTGTGTTGCTTAGGGCAAAGTACACACTTTTAATTTAATTTTATTTTTTATCCTCCAAGGAGTTTGAAGTTAAAAATGTGACGGAGCCCTTATTTATCTTGACCGGTTCTTGCTCACTGCAGATAATCTCCGCAGCCCTCCTGCTGGCCACGTGGTGCGGTCCAGGCCCTGATCTGCTCGGACAACGAGACTCTCATCTGCCCTGAGCCCGGGAAGATGGTGTCAGAGTCTTCGGGCCAGCAAGATTCTCCTGTGGACCCCTTGGAAGGGGTCAGCAGTGACTCTGGTGACACTGATGGGTCACCCGGCCTCCTGGACACCAGCCACCTGCCTGGCCAATCAGACATCAAGTTCGCAAGGCACACAGCTGCCTGGATTAACCCCCAGGGTACGCAGGGGCAGGATTTGCCCCTCCAGGTGCCCACGGTGGGGAATGGCGGCGGCCTCGTTGTGTGGGATGCCACCGCTCTCTTGGGCACCTCCCCTGGTTCTCTTGAGAGCTCCGCGGTGGAGACATCTCTGCGGAAGGACACCGTGGGCTCCGCGGGCAGCTTGGGCAAGCAGAGCAGGGACTCTGCCTTCACCTCAACGCGAGAGCCGGTCGTGCTCCCAGGACGCCGTCCTCGGATGTCTCTGCCCCCAAGCTACATGGTGTCGGCCGCTGCCCCGAGTCCCAAGGCTGGCGGCCCGTGTCCCGAGCCTCCCTACGTGACAGCTCCCGCCGGTGCAGGTAAGCCGGTCAGGGGCTGCCCTCATGCCTGTGCGTTCCCACACTTGCCTCGCCGTGGTCTAAAGGTCGGAAGCCTGTTTCCCTGTCTCCCTCAGGAGACAAACAGGCCGTGGGTGTCCCTTTGACCGGGAGCCTGTCCATCAGCCCATCCAACACTGTCTTTGGCTGCCACCTGGGCCGCCGCAGCCCCTGGCGTCCAGCATTTCCTTTCTCCTTCGATTGCAGGGAAATGCCACCTTTGCTCAACTTAGTTGATAACCAGTGCCGCCTGCCACCTTTGAGCAGGTGTGTGCCTGCAGGGACTTCCCGCTTTTTAAACTGCCTGCCAGGGAGGGCACTGGAAGCACACTCAATCCACCGCGCTGGCGGCAGGTGCTCGCGGAGAGTGGGTTCCGCCCCACGCCAGCGCTTACTGGGAGCCAGGCTCCCCTCACCTGTTACGTTGACCTGGCCAGAGCATGAGTAGGAAAGAGTAAGATGTAGCCCTGGCTGGTGTAGCTCAGTGGATTGAGCGCGGGCTGTGAACCAAAGTGTCGCGAGTTCGATTCCCAGTCAGGGCACATGCTTGGGTTGCAGGCCACGGCCCCCAGCAACCACACATTGATGTTTTTCTCTCTCTCTCTTTCTCCCTCCCTTCCCTCTCTAAAATAAATAAATAAATAATAATTTAAAAAGAGTAAGATGTAAAAACAGTAACCGCAATTCCCCAGAGGCTCTCCAAAACCTTTCTCAAATTTATTTTTATTAAATCAAGGGCTGCCGTTGCTATGAGGTCATAATGCACGAATTTCTGAAATACTGACATTCCTAACAGGAGATCATCCATGCAAATGCCAGTCAAGAGTCCACAGACTAGCTGTTGTTCTTGTGATCATTTGCAGCATGCTTATTTTTAAATCTTTGCTGGGCTGTATGCACACTTTGCATTAATTTATATTTCTATTAGAACACTAGTTGAAATAGTCAATAGCATTTGAAAAGCTGCCTGCCTTCCTATGTGCATGTATGTGTGTGTGTGTATGTGTCAGAATAGTTGTTTCTCAATGGCAGAAACCAGTTTCCCCCTTTCCTAAAGTCTGGGGTTTATCTGTTCTACTGGAAACTTCGAAAAGTCAGCGATTGATGATAGTCTTTTATTATTCATCGCTTGAGAACAGGAGATTTCCGTGGGCTAACTTTGAGATGAGATCCACGTTGGAGCAAAATGAAACACTCTTGAGTATAGGCCTGTTTTCTATGTTTTTGCTCGTCTGCTGGGAAGGTTCTCGGGAAAAGAGTGATTCGCAAATGTAGTGGTTGCTGAGCAAAAGACTAGTCTCCTCCTAGCGGTGGTCTCCCAGGGGAGAAGGAGGAGAACATGGAGAAAAGGGACAGCACCCCTCGTCCCCCGTGAAGAGTGACGGTGACAGAAGACATCCTCAGGCGCGGGACACCCCCGCCCCAAACCCTCCGTGGTCTCACTGCACAGGAAGTGGGTCTGTATGTAGCATTGGCTCTACAGGAAACAGGCACCCCAGCCCCTTCCGTCCAAAGCCAGCGACCCCAGCAACCTTGCAAAGTTCCTTTAAAAAGCCACTCCATCTTTTGGGAGTGCCTCTTCAACTCAGTGAGGGGGTTCATTCCATGGGATTAAAAAAAAACCAAACTGCTGAGCCATCTGGTTCTTTCCCTCTTTGGTGCGGGGCCGCAGTGGGGAAAGCAGGCTTTCGCCACCAGGACTCGGGACTTCCCTGCGCCCGTTGTGTCTCCAGGGGCAACGTGGGGTTTCCTCTCCCGGATTAGCGCAGGGAAAGACCACGTGAGCTAGTGCGTGTTGACCGAGGCGGTCAGAACGCGTCCCCAGTTCCTGTGTCTGCATCACGTCTATGCACTGACAAAGCACTTTCACATCCTTTGCCTCCTTTAATCTAACAGAGAGTCCCCCCCAACCCCCCACCCCCATAAGGGATGAGGGGGCTGAAATGCAGACGCACAGCTGGGGCGTGGGGCCTGCTGGGACGGGAACCCACACCGTCTGATCCGACTCTGTGCTCTTCTCTGCGTGTTCGGGGTCCAGAAATTATGCCCAGGGCAAACCCAGCCAGCCTCCTGACTTTGCAAATGAAGCTTTGTCCGTCTGGCCCGCCCCTGCCCTCTCCCTGCGGTGGCAGAACCCAGCAGGGGGAGGAGGTGCCGTAGGGATCTCAGGTCCCACGCGATGCACTACGTCCCACGCGATGCACTACGTAGTCATCCTTTTCCAGAGAAGCGTGCCCACCCCCGATGGCTTCCAAAGCCAAGAGCTCCAAAGTTCTCCGTGGAGCAGCTGCGTTCTGGAGAGGAGGCTAGGGATTGGGGGGACCCCCTGGCCTCTCCGTTTGTCACCCCGAGTGCTGTGCAGTCCTCAGGATGTGGGCAGAATTTTGTTCCCGTTTAGCGATTGGGGCGGCCCAGCCCTTGGCTCTCCCAGAGATGTTCTGCCTTACATGCCGCCGCCGCAAGGAGTCACGTGAGAGAAATCGCTGGTGTTTTGCTGGTGCTCCCTGCCAGTAATGGAGTGGCTCAAGGGAGGAAGAACATTTCAGAGAAGCGATGCTGGCATGTGTCAGCATGGCATTTGTTTGTGCCAACAGGAAGTCTTGGGTCAGTGGCAGCGAGGTGGAGAAGTGATTCCATAATCCTCATGGCTCTGTTTCTAGACTGTTCCTCCATCTCCCTTGGGTAGTTTCCCTCGTCTCTCTCTGCCCTCCTCGCCTCATGGGTCTCCTCCATTGCAGGGGCTCTTCCGTGTCTTCCCCGTCGTTCCAAGGGCCTCTCGTAGAAAGGGTGGACATTAAGGCCATATCTGCCGGCCCGACACTGGGAGGGCCATTCTCCTTCCGTCACCCTTTGCATCCTAGAATCCTGCTTTAAAAAAAAAAAAAAGGCAGCATTGAAAAACCATTCCCTAGAACTGTTTTGTTTTCTTAGATAAACTTTGGACCTCTCATTCTCCATTTTTTTAAGATTTTATTTATTTTTATTTTTTAGAGAGGGAAGGGAGGGAGAAAGAGAGAGAGAGAGAAACATCAATGTGCAGTTGCTGGGGGTCATGGCCCGCAACCCAGGCATGTGCCCTGACTGGGAATCGAACCTGCGACACTTTGGTTCGCAGCCCGCGCTCAATCCACTGAGCTGTGCCAGCCAGGGCTTCATTCCCCATTTTTAATAACTCACTGTGTTGGCAGGCGCTGTTCCAGTTGGTAGGAGAAGCATTTCCTTCAATGCCCTCTCCCCAGAAGCATTCATGTTCCCTGTGGATGTAGAAAAGGTGAGTATATATTCTTCTTCTTCTTTCTTCTTCTTCTTTTTTTTTTTTTTTTTGTACCACAGCAAGTGTTAATCCTTTAGACAATGCTGTCATGGTTTAAATTAGGCAATATCACTTGACGAGGCGCGGCCAGTAGGTTTTGCCCAGCATGTGATGCGTGCAGAGGTGGGGGCTGCTGCCGGCACCCCCAAACTGAGAAGGCTCGGAGGCAGAGCCCGCGCTCTGCTGGAAGGGCTGCCACGGTGGAGGCGTGAGGTCAGCCTTCGGCCGCCTGCAGCCTAGGGTCTCATCCCACGAGGGATTCAAAGCGGGTTGCCTGTCGATCGGATCGAAGTGGGCTAACCCTTATGTCTCCGGAGGAAGTGGGTTAGACTCCATTCAGCGACCAATGATAATTCAGTTAAAGGAACATTTCCATCCCTGCGCCTTAACTCCCCTTAAACGCAGCTTCTTGAGCTCTGAATCTAGGACCCCCCGATGGGGAGAAGCTGATCGGGCGGGTGTTTTAGCTGACGCTCGCTGTCCCGCAGGAAAACGCGCACTTCCAGGCGGCCGACGTGATTATCTCCGCCATGGAGACGATGAAGTGGGACCTCCTGAGCGGACAGCCCGAGGAGAACTGCGGCCCAGACGGAGCCGGCGGGTTGCCGGGGGATGACCGCCGTGGCTCCGAAGCGGCCTTCCACACCCACGGACCGCAGGAGGCCGGGTGGTCCGCTTCCTCGGACAGCGGCTCTGAAGGCAAGTGGGCAGGTCGGGGACTGGGGCACACTGTGCTCTGCATGCCCACCCACCTCCTCTGTCGAATCTGGAGGTGCGTCTTTAAATCCTCCGTCCAAAGTGTCTTCTCGAACCACCTCTTCCCCCCTCACCAGTTCTGCCGCTGGACTGGGGACCCACTAGCCTGCTCCACTCAGCAGTTCGATGGGTGTGTTTGTCATGGTTTGTCTTCCCCCTTGGACTTCCTCCTGCGTTTCCTTCTGGCAGGGGCTGACCTCCCCCCTCCCTTTGTTGTCCCTCACGTGCATGCTCCTAGCTCCTCCTTCTCTTCCAAGTCGTCCTCTTTCCTCCGTCCCCCAGACAGGGAGCCCGTGGGGTGCTGGGCATCAGCGGGCGACAGGATGGGCTCACCCCCCGCAGGGGCACAGGCAGAGGGGGGCCGGGGGGCTGTGGGGACCCTGGGGGGCAGGCAGGGCTGGCACGGTGCTGGGGCGCAGAGCAGAAGAGGCTCCGGGTATCTGTCCTGCAGGGGACAGGGGTCCCTCAGCTGAGAACTGCAGATAGGGCTGGTCATTGTCCTGCTGCTGGGCTCTGTCCTCTCCTGTCAGCCCCAGAACCTCCTCCTCTCCCTGTATTCACCTTCTGGAGACTCCCTGCCCCCCCGCCCCGCCCACTCCTGCGGCATCTCCCCGCCGTTCCCTGTCTGCTGGCCTCTCCAAGGTGTGTTTTCAGTCCTGCACCTCCCTTATCAAGCGTGCTCCTTGGGACCGGGCCCCGGGGACCACCACGGCCACCTGGACAGCCCCCCAGGGCCTCTAACTTAACGCGTCTGAACTAGTCATGTCTGTCACTCCCGAGCAGCCCCTTTCTGCAAAAACAAAACAAAACAAAACAAACCCCAGAGCCAACCTTTTCAGGAGGGAGGAACTCAAGTCCCGGTGGTACATGTGTAGCAGACGCCGGGCGTGAAACAGGTGTACAGTAAAGTGCCGTGGGACGCACTACCGGCTCAGGTGAAAAGGAGACCTTTTAGACGGCGAGCAGAGCGTCCTCCTGGGACCCCAGCAGTGGGGAGCACGAAGCTGACCGGGGTGGGGGCAGCTCCGGCCTCCGTCCGCTCTGGGGCTCTGTGGCCTCCCACCGTCAGCTGCTGCTCTGCATGCAGTTGCTTCTGTCCCCCCCGTCTCCGTCTCCTCAGCCTGACGGGTTCCATGCCCCCCCCCACACACACACGCGAGCCCCGGCGTCACCCAGCATCTCCCGGCCCGCTCTGCCGGGGCCTCGCAGCTCAGCCTCGGCCCGCAGGGCCCCGGGGCCAGGCCACCGGGAAGAACACCGAGGGGGGTGCGCTTCGGCCGGGCGTCCGCAGCCAGTCAGCTGGCTGTGTGGCCGGCGAGGTGTGCCCACGGGGGCAGGGAACGCACTCTGCTCCATCCCTCCCTCGGAGGCCCCCCGGGGGGAGAAGAGGCTGCCGGGTCACGACGTTCCAGCGCGCCGCCGCGCCCGACCTCTGACTCCTCCCGCTCCCCGGCGCCCCTGTGTGCAGTGCACACACGAGTCCGCCCCCCACTTCTCAGGAACGGTGCCCCCCACCTCGTGCGTTCCCCGCACCTGCCTTCTACCTGGACCGCGCAGCAGCCTTCGGGTCCTTACCTGGATCGAACCCGCAGCCTTGGCGAGTCGGGCCGAGGCTCTAACCAACCGAGCTACCCAGCCGGGACGAACGCCTGTGTCCTTGTCTATGCGTATTCCGTGGGTGCAGTTTTATAGTGACGATGCACTCATCCTAACGTAGGAACAGCAGAACGTAGCTCCTTGCGTTTTTAAAACGTTCTTGCAGCAGCACTTTAAAATTATTTTTAAAGGAACCTCCCAGCCCCCTTTGTTCCTAGTTCCTGCGCGGTTGGGTGAGGCAGGCCGCGCCCCTGTTTTCCTGCCGGTGAAACCCCCTCCCCCTCTCCCTCTAGGCTGTGCCGTGTTGCAGGTCAGCCCGGTGGCTGCGACGCCGGCCGACGGTGACGAGGTGAAGGAGGGCTGCGCACGTGACTTTGAAGATTTTGTTATTGTCGGTAAGACGCGGGGACCCCTCCGAGGGGATCGGATACTGCCCTCCTGCCCCCTCCCCCCACCGTCGATGGGCCTCACGAGCAACACCACGGGGCGGAGCCATTCCGAGAAGGGCCTCCCCAAATGAGAGCGTGTCCCCGACGTGAAAAAACGAAGAAAAGGCTCTTGTGTTTCAAATGTCCTGGCGGGGAGCCTCCCGTCTCACGTGCAGGACGGGGTGCAGGAGCAGAGGCTCCTGGTGGGCTGACGACTGTGTGACGTCCCAGCTCCTTTGGTGGAGTTTCAGAGCAGTGTGTCCCGGCAGCCCGTGCTGGGTTCCGAGCTGGAGTCTCCGGGTAGACCCCCGGAGAGCCCCGAGCGTGGCGGTGCTGCAGCATCCGTCCTATCCGAAATGCAGGGAGCTGCCTGCGCCTTCCTCTTAGAACCCCGACTGTGGTTGCGTGAAGCAGACTGAGCGACCTGGCCGCCCTTTCTCTGATTTCTCCCCCCCACAGAGCTTGCCGCGTTCAGAGATCCCGCGGAAACCTGCCAGCGTTCCCGCCGCCCCTCGAAGAGGTACCGTGTCTCCCTGGCGCGTCCACCCGCACGCAGACCCCTGGGCCGGCCCCTCTGGGGCGCTCTGCGCGCTGGGCCTCCCGGAACCTCCAGGGCCAAGTTCAGCCACTTCCCATGACAGGGGGTTACCACGTAGAAATGACACCAACACCACTCCAGTTTCTGCAGTGTGTTTATAGTGTTTGAAAGCCTTCGCCAGGATACGTTCTTATTTCATCCTCAGGGATAGGCTGCCAGGGGGGGTTTTAAAGCCCCATTTCACAGGTGGAGAAGCTGAGGTTTGGACAGGGTGAGCCTCAGGGCCCGGTGCTGTGAAATAAGAGCGGTGGGGTCAGAACTCGGGTCTCCTCCCTCTAAACCCAGCGCGTTTTCACCATTCCTCGCAGTCTCGGTGCCCCCCCCCCCAATAAATAAAGCTGCCCTGTGGAGCAAGGCAGGACCGTGGAGAGGGAGAAAGACCCCTTTTGGTGCCGCGGTTGGTGCTGGTCTCTCACGACACCTCCTCTGTGTCTTCGGAGAGGGAAGGAGAGTCAAAACCTGAGGAAGACGCTTCTCCTCCTCGTGCAGATAGGCCTTAATTTTTTTTTTTTTTGCATCGCTTACATTTCAGTGTAATTTATGAGCCAGACTTCAATTCTGCGGAGCTCATAGCCCGAGAACTGTACCAGGTGTTCCGGAGGTGCTGGGTGCTGTCGGACGCTCACCATCAGCTGGCCGTGTCACTGAAGGCGGGGGGCTCGGTAGTAAGTACCGGGGTACACCGGCTTTGAGTGGAGAGCTCCCAAATTCGCGTTTCACCTGCTGCTCGCTTCAGACGCGGAGGTGTTTCCTTTAGAGTCACTGGGCGCCGCGGGAGGGCTCCAAAGGCAGGGTGAGGGTGAATCTCAATCCCACCGAGCACTTGTCATGCGCCAGGGACTGTGCGCTGCAATTCCCGTGTCAGTCCTCAGATGTGTCCTGTGCGGCAGAGGCTCTCGTCGTGTTTATTTTAAGGTGTTAGTTCCAGACCCAGCAGGGCTGGTGGTCAGTGTGGAGCAGGAGTCATGTCCCAGGCTGCCTAACTTCTTTTCTGTCCTTATCTGAGGAGATGTGTACTGATTTGAGAGAGAGAAAGAGAGAAACATCAATGTGAGAGAGAAACATGGATCGGGTTGCCTCCTGTATGCACCCCAACTAGGGAGGCTGAATGTGCAACCCCAGCATGTGCCCTGGTGGGGAATCAAACCCCGTGACCTTTTTTTGGTGCACCGGATGGTGCTCCGACCAACCGAGCCACCCGGCCAGGGCCAGGTGGCCTCATTCGAAAGTCCGGTTCCCTGTCGAACTCTGCCCTTGGACTGCGTGCCGCTCGTTGGGGATGGAGAGCTCAGTGCAAAGGCTAAAACAGAAATAGGCCCCCTTAACCCAGTAAATTCAATATGAATGAATGAATGAATGAATGAATGAATGAAATAGAGGTAGTCAAAAAGCACTCTGGAGATGCAAAGGAGGCAAAGGCCAGCCGGAGCAAGTGCCATGCAGGTGTGAGGTGCTTCCTGAGCAGAGTGATTTGCTGTGGTTGGACAGCGTGTGTGTGTGTGCGTGTGTGTGTGTGCGTGTGTGTGTGTGTGTGTGTGTGTGTGTGAGAGAGAGAGTCAGTGGGGGTGGGAGGGGGAAGACAGTGTTGATCTTCCTGGGAAACGAGGGTGGAATGCTCGTGGCCCAGTTACAGAGCACACGGAATGCCCGTCGCAGGAGCGTGGACGGTGGATGACAACAGGACCGTCTCCTGGCTCAGAGGGGAGCCCAGCAGGGGAGTGCTCCTAAACGAGCTGTGTCTGGGCGAGTCTGCCGGCCCCCAGGGTTTGGACGGGCAGCATCTGGTGGATTTAAAGGGGCCCGGCTCCTGCCACCCATAACGGCTTCCTAGGTCCCAGTGCCTGCAGTCACCCGAGGTCTGGAAACAAATGAAATGACGAACAGAACTCAGAAAGGAGGAGAAGCGACCTCAGCTGGACGGGGTGTTAAGCAGTTGTTCTGCAGACGGCTCTGGCTGCGTGCAGGGCTTTCGCCCCGTCCTTTCGTTCAGCTGAAGGCAGTTTCAGTTTCTCGTGGTACATTGTAACGGGCCCGTTCGAGTTGTTTCTAAACCCCCTTCTGTGTCCTGCAGGTTGTGAACGAAGAGCGTGCCCAGAAAGACTTGGAGTCCAGCGAGGAGTTCGGAGAGGAAATTCAGTTTAAGTCCAGGATCAGAGGGACGGAGGACTGGGCGCCCCCTCGATTTCAAGTCATATTTAATGTTCACCCGCCGCCCAAGTGAGTCGGGTCGCCGTGTGCGCTGCCGACAATGCAGTTACACAGGCTGTGGTGGTTCTGTTACCCACACTGGGGCTCCTGGGGTCCCCGAGACAGAGATGGAGAGGAACCCCAGGGAAATTTCAGACAGATTTTATTGAGCTTATGCCCCAACACAAGGGAGGCAGCACAGAGGACAGGAAGGTCCTGTGAATGGGGTCGGGGGGCTGGCTCTGCTCGGCCCCTCGTAGAAGCTGGGCACAAAGCAGGCTTGGGGGAAAAGGCAGGTTTTGGGGAGTGACTCCATTTTGCAGTTGAGTTGCCTGGTAACTGTGTGCCCGCCTGTGCTGAGCCAGGGCAAATGGGAGACTCCATCCTAGGGCGGCCGTAGAGAGGTCAAACCTTGGTCCCCTGTGAATGTGGGTCGGTGGTTCTAACACCTGTGAGAGAGCAGGTGATTAGAAGGGAGATAACACCAGCTACCTCTGTGTTTTTTGAGTAGGGAGTGGAGGGGTGGTGACATTCCTGGGGTCAGCTCATTCGGCATTCCTTCCGGACACCTGGTCTTGGCTCCTTAGCCACCCGGTATTGTTTTTCTTCCCTGGGCCCAAGTGCCTAAACTGCCTCAGTTCCCACCCGGCTCTGTGGAAGTCGGTGAAAGAACAAAACAATACACTGAAGGACAAAAAACTCTTGTTTTAGGAAAAGCTAAATTGGGCATATTTTTCTCTCAGCTTCCTTTGGCACCTGTTTCTCATGGGCTTTGGGGGGACTCTGTGAGTTTTGGTAAATGGGGAACTTAACTACAAGACCTCAGTTGTGAGCATGGCCTCGCAACTGCAATAGGCGTGAAGGGGGTTTTTAAACGGGTGAATGTTGAACCTGAAAAATCATACACCATAATGTTAAAAGGCTAGTCCTCCCTATTTTTCCATGCATTGGAAAATAAAAATCAATGAGTAATTTTTTTTTTTAAGAAAACTCAGTCTCAGGGAGCGCTCCCGTCGTTGAGAAAAGGCTGACGGGTAGGGTTCTGCATGTTTTCACCATGGCCATTTTTGATGACACTGAACTATAGTAAAATTTCATAACTAATCGCATGTCTCCAAATCACGGGTGAAGCATGGCACCAAAGTTCAATAGAAAAAAACACTTCATGAGATGGTCTCTCACCGGAAATGTTGTATAGTTTTGTCTTCCATGGTCTCTCATTTATCTAAATTTCTTCGGACCACCCGTGAACTTCCCAAGTACACCCCCTCCCGGTGCCTGTGCCCTGCACCTGCTCTGCACTGCCTGCTGCCAGCTCCCTCTGGAGGGGGAGTCCTGCGCCCACACAGTGGGGAGCCCCCAGCCCCCTGGTGGACGTGTTCTGTGTGGTGCTGACTTCCACCTTAGTGGTAGCTGGGGCTTTTAACAGACCCAGAAAACGTGACTGAATGATTCTATTTCTTTTTTTTTTAAGATTTTATTTATTTATTTTTAGAGAGGGAAGGGAGAGAGAGAGAAACATCAATGTGCGGTTGCTGGGGGTCATGGCCTGCAACCCAGGCATGTGCCCTGACTGGGAATCGAACCTGCGACACTTTGATTCGTAGCCCGCACTCAATCCACTGAGCTACGCCAGCCAGGGCGATTCTATTTCTTTCACAAGTGAAAAACAACAAAATTAAGGGCCCAAGCCGAGAAAAGTACCTGGATGTCAGTGTATTGTTCCAAGCAGTAAAACCCGCTCCCTTGGTCTTCTCTGAGACACCCCTGTCATTGTCTTCTGTCCTCAGGAGGGAGCTCGTGGTCGCAGCCCAGAATTTCTCGTGTGCAGGCTGCGGAACTGCAGTAGAACCCAGTAAGTGTGGGAATGACCGCCGGCTTACTCTACGGCGACAGGGCGGAGCCTGGCCGAGGCGGGCCGGGCGCTGATGGTGCGAGAGAGGCCTTTTGGTGGCGAGCCAGTCTGACAGCTTCAGACTGTGGCCCTCTGGTTCCTGAAGGGGCCACTGGGACCTCCGGAGGGATGGGACTGGCCTCTCAGACTCACCTGCTAGCTCCCTGCCCACCTGGCGCTCGGCTGCAGCCCCGTGGCCTCCCTGCCGGTCCTCGGTCCTCGGAGGCGGCAGGCTCACTCCCGACTTGGAATGCCAGCCACCCCCAAGGCAGCTTGCCTTCCTTTCTTCCTTCCTCCCTCCCTCCCTCCCTCTCTCCCTCCCTCCCTTCCTTCCTTCCTTCCTTCCATCTTCGCTCAGGAGCCCTGGCGTGTCCCCGGCTGGCCCCCCGCAGACATGTGCACGCTGTACGACCCTCCCTGCTTCTGTTTCACCCCAGCACCACTCGTCCTCCTGAACGGCCCTCCCAGACGTTAGCGGGGTTTGTCACTGTCGTCCTTCTCCCTCGTGGGCTCTCAGTTCCACCAGGACAGGAGAGTTGTCTGTGTCACTCGTGGCTTTCACCCCGGCTCCTAACAAGGGTGTCTGGCACACAGTCGGTCCCCAAAAGATAAATTTGTTGAAGGATGGAACAGCTCACCAAGGAGCTAGCCAAAACTCCTTCGAGGAAGGGGGGTTGCAAAGGGGCCTGAGGGGATCATTCCTGGGCCGGCGGAGGCCTGGAAACTCAGGCTTCCCCGAGTCAGAAATGCAGGTGGCCCACTCGAGACCGGGAGTCACGCGGCCCACGGGTCTGGCCCGAGGAAGACGGGGAAGAGGGGCTCCGCAGAGGAGGGCCCCCTGGACCGTTGAGAAGCAGTCTTGGAGGAAAGCGACTTTGAGGGAGTCCACCCTGAGAACTAAAGATCTCTCCGGGCTTCGTTCCACCATGGTGACGGATGATGCCCCCCAAACCTCACTGCTGTGACTAGTTTTACTGAAACACCTCACCTTCCCGGTCTGGCAGGGACCCTCTCTCTCTGGTCCCCTGCATGCGGGTGCCTCCCTAACACTGAGTCGGAAACGAGGAACAGAGGACTCTGGTTCCCCCGACTCATCATGTACTTCCCCAAATCCACTCAAACTCGGACACGTGTGCCTGCACTGTGCACACAGTAGCCGTGGTCCCTCCCTCGGGGAACCTGCCCACAGGAAGGCACAGTCATCAGCCGAGTAAATATCAGGAAGGACTCACACGATGAAAGAGAAAGTCGAGAGTGCCCGGCCGGGATTTGTAGCGAGGGAAATTGATGGGGGGGGGGGCGGGGGGAGTGAGAAGTTCTGGAAGGAAGTGATTATTCCCAGAACAGGGGGGTGGGGGGTGGGGGGGTAGGGAGTGGAGGAGGAGCCACCACGCACAAAGCCCACTGCAAAGCAAACCTGAGCCACGGAGGATGCGAATGAGAGAAGCCAGGTAGCCGGCAGCCCACAGACTCAAGGGGCATTGTCCACAGGGCAAACAATTCTGGACTTTTCATTCATGTGAAGTCCCCATAGTTCTTGGGATCATTTTTAAAAACTTTTCATTTTGAGATGATTTCAGGCTCACAGAAGAGTTGTAAAAACAGCACAGACATCCCGTACACCCTTCCTGCAGCTTCCCTATGTTAACGTAATAATCACAGTGTCGTTCTTAAATCTGAGAAACACGCATCGTTGCCCTCCTGTGAAGCTACTACAGGCTGGATCCGGATGTCGTGAATGACCTTTACCTGCTCTAGGGTCCCGTCCAGAACGCCACCTTTGAACTTAGTTGACGCATCTCCAATCTCTCTCTCACACACACACAGACGTTTGACAAGAGAGCAGCAGACAACTGTTGTAATACCTCATACTGAAACGCGCTCTAACAGTAGGATCGTGAGCAGTTACCACGCCAGAGGAAATAACGCTTCTCTAACATGGTCCAATACTAGTCCTTATTCACTGCTGTCCTGCAGATGTCATTCACAGCTCCTCATGTTTTCTTCCCCGGTCTCCACCAAGTCTCGCCCATCGCATTCAGCTAGCATTTCTCTTCCGTCGGCTTTATTCTCATACTGCACTGTCCAGTACGGCCGCCACCAGCCCCCTGTGGCTGCTTAACGTCAAATTAAAAAGAATGTGAATTAAAAATCCCGTTCTTCAGCGACCCTAGCTACTTTTCAAGTGCTGAATAGCTTCACGTGGCTGGTAGCTACTGCATCAGACGGCACAGGTGGAGAATATTTCCATCCTCACCGAGTCCTGCTGGACAGCAATGGCCTAGAATTTTTGCCCCCTATTTTTTCCTGGGATGTTGCCTTTTCCCAAGATGACAACCACCGTGGTTGACAGCCGGGTTTCTTAGCCTTAGCGCTGTTGTTTTGTGGAGGCTGCCCTCTGGCGCACGGGAGGATGTGTAGCAGCTTTTCCAGAGGCCACTAGCAGCTTTTCAACCCAAAATGTCTTGAGACGTGACAATCCCGCTGTAGTTTGGGAGGGTTTTGCTTTCCCCGTGTCTGTGCCCCCAGAGCAAAGCTCGTGCATGGCGGGGATTTGGGGCCTGCAGCCGCTGCTCAGCTCTCCCAGCTGCCTTGGGGGGCAGGACGGCTACCACAGCACCCTGAGCCTGGCCCTTGGGTGGAAACAGCAGCAGGGACGAAGGTGGGTTTTCGGTGCCCCCCACAACGGATCCGTGCTCACCTCCGCAGAGTTCGTGAAGCGGCTGCGGTACTGCGAATACCTGGGCAAGTACTTCTGCGACTGCTGCCACTCCTACGCCGAGTCCTGCATCCCCGCGCGCATCCTCGCCAGCTGGGACTTCAGGAAGTACCACGTCAGCGACTTCTCCAAGCAGCTGCTGGACAGCATTTGGCACCAGCCCCTTTTCAACGTGCTGAACGTCAGCCGCAGCCCGTGCGCGAAGGCCAGGAAGCTGGACGCCGTCGCGGTGAGCAGCTGGTTTTTTGGGCGGATGAGAGGGGATCGGTCCAGACAGACCCTCGGAGGGACGGGCTTACCGCGCCTGTCCAGGGGGTGGAGCTGACGCCTCGGGCCCTGGCTGCGCTGGCTGGTGCAAAGGCGCGTGCCAGGTTTTATACTTATGGACAGTTATGCATGTACACAGCGCTTTTTCATTTATTATTTTATACAAATAAAAGTGGGGTGTGTCTGAGTGCACAGCACGACTTGAAGCACATCGTGAAATGATTGTTGGCCAGTTCCCATATCCACACAGTGACCGAGCGTGGCGAGAGCGCCCGAAGTCTCCTCTGCTAGGAAATTTCCAGTGTTCCATGCGGTGGTGTTAACTAGCGTCCCCACGCTGTGCATCAGATCTCCAGACTTACTCATTCTACAGAACTGCGACTGTGTGCCCTAGGACCCCGGTCTCCCCACTCCCTGCACCTACCCCCCCCACCCCCGGCCTTGCCTCTGGCAACTGGCGTTTAAGTCTCTGCTTCTCTGAGGTTAACATCTTTAAATTCCACACACCAGCGAGACCAGGCAGTTTTTCTTCTCTCTCTGTCTGGCTTATTCCACTTTGGGATCCTCTGCCTTGTTGGAAATCACAAGGCCCCCTTCTTTTATACAGAATTATGTATATTTCTTAGAGGCCTCAAGGAGGTATGAACTTCAGGGTCCACAACAGCTGGGTCCATCCTGGCCCATCCGTGAATCTTGACTCAGCCACGCATCCCTGCTGCGTAGACTGGGTTTCAAAGGCTTGGGTTCCAGAGTTGCGGCGTTTCAAGGTTAGAAGTAACACCTCAGTGTGACGTAGAACTGTGTCCAGTGTCTCTGGTCATGTTGTGAGGACCCCGTTCCGTGTCTTCCCTTAGGAAATCCAGGAGCAGCTGTTTCATGTCAAGAAGCTACTGAAGACCTGCCGATTTGCTGAAAGGTACCACTGTGGGCTGGGCCGGTCTGGGCTTGTGAGGTGGGAGGACCCGTACCCTGCACACTGGCTGATGTTCTGTGTGCCTCCTGGTCCGGCCCCTCCAATACACAGAGCCTCTCAGCACAGCGCAGTTGTCCCTTGGTGTCTGTGGGGGACTGGTTCCAGGCACCCTCCCTGCCCCCTGCACTACCAAAATGCTCAAATCTCTTCTGTATTTGCATATAACCTGCATTTGTATATAGGCTATAGCTGGGTATGCCTACAGATAAATCACTTCATTCACTGGAATTCAGCATAGTGCTTGGCACACGGCAAATTCAAGTCTTGCTTTTTGGAACTTTCTGTGGTTTTTTCCCTGAATATTTTTAATCTTGGCTTGGTGGAATTTCCTTGGATGCTAAACCCAACCTGCGGATACAGAGGGCTGACTCTCTCCTTGGGCACCCAAACCCTCTCTTTAAAGTTATTAAACCCTCTGACTCACTAAGAGTCCATCTACTCTGTTAAGACGAGCGAGTCAGTGCAAGGACAAAGAGACCGTAGCCAGTGGCCTTTGTATTATTTTTAAATTGTCGTAAAATAGACATAACATAGAATTTTCCATCTTAGCCATGTTTAAGTATACAGTCAGTGGGGTTAAGTACACTCACATTGCTGTACAGCTGTCACCCCCATCCATGCCCAGAAATCTTTTCGCCTCTAGAAACTGAAGCTCTGTGGTCTTGAACACTCACCCGCCAGCCCTTCCTCCCCGCAGCCCGTGACAATAACCGATCTGCTTTATGTATCCACAAATGTGACGGCTCCTTATTTCACTCAGCATAATGTCCTCGAGCTTTGTCCAAGTTGTCCCCGTGTCAGAATGCCCTTCCTTTTTAAGGTGGATTGTATGTATGATACACACCACCTTTTGTTCATTCGTCCATCTGGGGCTGCTTTCCCTTTTCGGCAATTGTGACTAGTGTTTCTGTGAGCATGGGGCTTCCGATGGCTCTTTCAAAGCCCCGGAGAGAGCAGCATGTCAAACTTTTATTGGCCACATAGTATTCTAGACGGTGATGTGGTGATCATTTAGCTATTGTCCAATTAGGACAGATAGGTTTTAAATCTCTTAATATTAAAATAGATTTTAATATTTTTATATTAGACCTAATAGGGTTTTAATATTTAATAGATACTTAAATATATTTCTAATCTTTTGTTATTTAAAAAACTAGTTACCTAGAATAATACCCCTAAGTCCATCCATGTTTTTGCAATGGTGAGATTTCATTCTTTTTCATGGCCGAGTAGTGTTTCATTGACTATATGTACCTCAGCTTCTTTGTCCAGTTGTCTGTGGATGGGCTCTTGGGTTGCTGCCATAGCTTGGCTGTTGTAACTAGTACTGCAGTGAATGCAGGGGTGCACACCTCTTTTTGAATTGGTGGTTTGGGTTTCTTCAGATAAATACCCAGAAGTGGGATGGCTGGGTCATACAGAAAGTCTGTGTTTAACTTTTTGAGGAACCTCCATCCTGTGAAATGAGTCAGTCAGCAGTAGACAAAGACCATACGATTGCACTTACGTGTGGAGTCTAAAAATAAACAAACTAGACGTGTCAGGGAGATGAGCCACTATGCGGGACACCTGAAATTCATACAATACTGAATGTCAAGTGGCACTGAAAATTTTTAAAAAAATAAAAAACCTAGGTTGTAGCTGAATCTCTGCCCGCACCCACAGGAATGTCCTTAGGGTAAACTTCTGGGGGTGGGCTTTCAGGAGGTGATGCCCATAAAGGCATAGGTGTGAGTTTTTTATAGAGACAGATTTTTCAGTGGAGACAGAGTAGGTCACTCAAGGAGTTAAGACTCTTTGTTGTAATAGGAGCACAGGTTTGAAGTCCTTTTGTTGTGTTTCAAGGCTTCTTTCCATTTCTGATCTTTTACGTCATGACGATGTATTACTTTGGAGTGAAATTTCTTGGGGAGGAGCGTGTCTCCTGTTGTCACTTGGCCTTGAGGTCTACCTCGTGGCACCGGGTGACAGGTTAATCATTCCTCAGATGCTTCGTTTTCTTGTCTGTAACATGCACCAATGCCCACAGTCCTACCATCCACAGCAGCTTCTTGAACATCCATCCTGCACTTCACACTAAAACATCAGTGGGACTCATGTGACATTCAGAAAGAAAATCAGCACGACAGCTCCTGGCTGGGTGCGAGTCCGACAACGGTGTACTGAGCCCTGAGGGTGCAGAAGGGCATTTAGTTCATGAGGGAGGGGGCGGGGAGCGGGCAGCCAAGGCTTCCGGAGACAAAGCTGAGCTGGAAGAGGAAGCAGTGTGAGCAGGCGCCCCGAGCTGGACGGAGCATTAAATGTGGTTCGTTCTGGCTAGAAGGGCAGTCCGGTGTAGGCAGTGGCTGGCTTGGGAATGCAGTGTGTGGTGGTGCTGCTCCCCGATTTAGAGAATTCGGGAGGGGTTCAGCAGGGTCTAGGGAATGTTACACTCGGTTTCAAAAGCCCGTGGGACAGCCAAGTGCCTATGACAAGCCCGCAGTTGAATGCCCACGTCTTAAGCCCATCCTGAGCTTGAGGATTTGGAAGTTGCGTGCCGGCGCGTGAGCAGTCATTTCTGCACCAGCTGGGGCACCCGTCAGTGGCAGACTGCAAGTGGAGCTAGGATCAGTAAGGCAGTGAGTTGTTCATCCCAGGACGCGTTTCTAAGACTTGAAACAACATCCAGTTTTCTCTTGCTCGGTGCGTGCATGGGCAGGCTGCAAGGGGCACGCTTCTCTCCCGGCTTCGTTGCCTAAAGTCAGTGTTTGTGGCATTTTAACTGCTTGGCCTGCAAAAGCAAATTTGCCAGATGTCAAGGGATGGGTGAGGTGCACTCATTCTTGGGGCTGTTTTTAAACAGTCTGAGCTAAAGACTCAAGTGTGAGGGCCGCTCAGCTCCCCCGCCGCCACCCCAGCCCCTGTGGGGTGTGTCCCTGAGTCCTCCGTGTTTCCTCCCTGGCAGGGCATTAAAAGCGTTTGAGCAGGTGCCCAGACACCTGACGGAGGAGCTCCATCTGTTCTCCCTGGAAGACCTGGTCAAGGTCAAGAAAGGGCTGCTGGCCCCCTCGCTCAAGGATGTTTTGAAAGCTGCCCTTGCCCATGTGGAGGACTGTGAGGTGAGGTTCCTGGGGGGGGGGGGTGCGGGGGTCCCTGAGCTGCCTTTCATGTGTTCAAGGCCTGCACTGAACATTGTTTAACCCTTATGAACCCTGATGGAAGTGCTGGCAGTGCTACTTCCAGACGGGAGACACAAGGTTCATGGCTGTTAGGTCACAGGCCAAGGTCACCCTGCTGGTAAGTAGCAGGGCTGGGATGCACACCTGGGCCCAGCCCTGCTTGGGGCAGACTCCCATCTGCCCTGGTAGGCCAAACACAGCGGCGTTGACTGAGCATCCAATGGTGCAGGAGCTCAGGTTGACTCAGAATCCGTGTTTAAAATCACGCTCTTGGGCTTCCGGCCGAGATGGAGGCGTAGGTGGACACGCACTGTGCCTCCTCGCACAACCAAAAGAAGGACAACAACAAATTTAAAAACAAAAGACAACCAGAACTGCCAGAAAATCAAACTGTATGGAAGTCTGACAACCAAGGAGTTAAAGAAGAAACATTCATCCAGACCGGCAGGAGGGGCGGAGCCGGGCAGCTGGGTGGAGGGGTCCTGGCGAGGCAGCGGCTGGAGGACTGGGGGTCCCACATCCGTGTGCGGATAAACTGGGAGGAACAACTGGGGAGGGAGACAGGCCTGCAACCCAAGGTCCCAACAGGGAAATAAAGCCTCAAACCTCTGAGTGAAAACACCTGTGGGGGTTGAAGCGGCAGCAGCGGGAGAAACTCCCAGCCTCACAGGAGAGTCTGTGGGAGAGACCCATGGGGTCCTAGAACGTGCACAGACCCACTCCCCACTAAGGTCAAGTTACAGGAATTCATCCTCACCAAGCCCTTATTATAAGAAATGTTAAAGGGACTCATCTAAGAAAAAGAAGATAAAAATATGGGCATTAAAATGACAACAAACTCACAGTTATTAACAGCCAAACCAAAACAAAACCAAAAACGAAGTAAGCAAACAACTAGAACAGGAACAGAATCACAGAAATGGAGGTCACATGGAGGGTTATCAGCGGGGAAGTGAGAGAGGGGGAAAAGGTACAGAGAATAAGTAGCATAAATGGTAGGTAGAAAATAGACAGGGGGAGGTTAAGAATAGTGCAGGAAATGCAGAAGCTAAAGAACTTACATGTATGACCCACGGACGTGAACTAAAGGGGGGGAGTGTGGGTGGGAGGGGGTGTGCAGGGCAGAGGGGAATAAAGATGGGGAAGTGGTACAACTGAAATAGCATGACCAACAAAATACACTTAAAAAAAATCATGGTCTTGCTCTGGTGCCTTCGTTAACTCGACGTGAAACTTCTCCATGCCGAAGCACACTGGTGCTTCTGATCCATCCACTGTGGAACATAACGTCCTGTTCCTCCCGGATGCTGGAAGTGTAGACACTTAAAAATCGATGCCTTTAGAGTTCTGTAAAAGCGGTGACTCCGATTCTCCATCCAGAGAAGCATTACCAATGACGATCTGAACTGTCGCCCCCTCACAGCTGTGTCAAGGAAAGGGCTTCATCTGCGAATTCTGCCGGAGTACAGCCGTCATCTTCCCGTTTCAGACCGCAACGTGCAGGTGTTCAGGTATCGTAATAAATTAGTAACATAAGCTTTGGAGCTTGCTTAATAGTGAGGTGCACAGTTAACAAAAGTGTATTAACAAGCACAGAATTAACTTAAGCTTCAAGATAGCCAGGTAACACTAATGTCAATGATAATGATGCTGGTGTGTGCTTACAGGCTGAATTGGAGCTGATCGAGTTTAGGGGGCACAGGGAGGAGAAGTATTTGGTTGGGACAGGGGTCAAGTGCAATGTCTCTTGGGGCAGGGTTTGTAGAGAGGTGGACCCTGTTTTGCCTGAGCCTTGTTTCTTCGACATCAGGATGAGCTACAGCATCCCATTTCGTGACTGCACCCTGATCACGCCCAGCCCTGAAGGGCTATCTCTGGCTCCTCTTGCCTTACGATGGCGGGGCCCAGTAGTTGTCATGGAGACCATAAGGTCCGCAGAGCCTAAAAAACGTTTGCTGTCTGGCTGCTTCCAGGAGAGGCTGGCAGAGCCGCTCCTGCTGCCTGTGCACCCCAGGACACCCCGTGGTCTCCAACCTGCCTCCTGGCAGAGGTCTGGCCCGGAAACCTGCTTCCGTCCGTGATGTGGGCGGGCCCTCCTCTCAGGCCGCCCAGGTGGCGTCTCCCCTGGCTCTTGAGGCAGGGTTACAGTGGGGGCTCCTCGGCGGGGACACTTGGAGGCAGGGCTTTGCATGCAGAGGGCCCCCTGGGGCGTGTGCTTGGGCTCTGCACCCATACACCATGGTGAGAGGGCAGTGGGGCCAGGCGGCAGGGGAGGCTGACCCGGCTGTGGTTGAGTGAAGGCCCAGCCGGTATCATGGGGAGCTCTGAAGCCACATCGTCTCAGGCTGAAGACAAGGGGCCAGCGAGTCTTTAAACCCCACGTTGACCAGCCCGTCATCCCTCACACAGACTGGCGCTACCAAGGGGACATGACCTTGAGCATGGCAGTGCCCTCCCATTAGGGCCATTCCCAGAGAAGGGGCTCCACCTGCTGAGCAGCCGGCGGGGGGGGGGGGTGGAGGCGGAGGGGGCGGGGGGATGCCCCTTGGGCAGAGCTGCAGCGTCCCCTCCTCTCGTGACCTGTCCGAGACCTTCCAGGCCCCTGCCCACCTGCCTGGTTTCTTTCCGCAAGAGTCCGGTCTCTGGACTCGGACCCCTCCTGTCCCCTTGGCTGACGGCCGTCCTCTGTGCTTGCAGAGTGCAGGGCCTGCTTCCACAAGGACTGTTTCCAGGCCTCCCGGTGCCCCCGCTGCGTGCGGATCGCAGCCAGGAGACGGCTTTCGGAAAGCCTGCCCTCGGCGGCGGCGGCGGCGACGTGACGCCCAGAGCCCTGTGACAGCGGGCCGCGACACGCCCTCTCGCACACCGGCGTGCGTCCCCTGCGGACGCCAGGACCGTTTCAGATGCTGAGGATTGCATATTGAGAAGAAAGACGGCCAATTTTCTCTTCCTTGTGTCTTTAATATGTTCAAAGAATGCAGACTCTTAGTCAAGACGGAAGGGTTGTGACTGGCGGCTTTGTTTACAAATGTTCAGTGTTTTCGCTGCTACTGTTTTTTCTAAGACGTTTTGTAAAAAAATATTTATATTGTATTTGAATGGTTGTATTTAACGCATGTGGGAGCTTATTTTTTTTTATGAATTGTAACTGACAAGGCGAATTACTCAGTTCCTCTTCCTGTAAAGCTTGTTTGTGAGCTGGGTTGGAACTTCCACTGAACTGAAACACAACCCGAATCAAATCCCCTTGCTCAGGCTGGATTTTCGGCCTCGGTGCCTTTTTGTATTGTGTCGGCCCTCTGGTCTTTATTACCCCAGGGTTTGCTTAGAGAGGCCCCGTTTTTATTATCCCCGGGTTTGTGTAGAGATGTCCCATGTTTATTACCCCAGGGTTTGTGTAGAGAGATCCCGTTTTTATTACCCCAGGGTTTGTGCAGAGAGGTCCCGTTTTTATTGCCCCAGGATTTGTGCAGAGATGTCCCATGTTTATTACCCCAGGGTTTGTGTAGAGATGTCCCGTTTTTTATTGCCCCAGGGTTTGTGCAGAGAAGTCCCATTTCCTCTGTAGCTCCTCTGTTTCAAGATGAGTCCGAGTTGCTTAACCACCTGGCAGGCACCCTTTGAGGAAATGACCCCCAAGGGCGCCCCAGCCCCCAGCTCCAATCAAAGCTGTTTCTGTCACCTGCATCCAACACACTAAGCCAAGGGGACGCCTGGGTGAGCAGAACGCATCCCTGCCCTTTGGGAGGTCGTCTCGTAGATGCAAAATTGAATGTGAGATATTCGAAGACTTATATAAGATGTGGGAAACTATCGTCAATAGCCATGTGATAAAGGTCGCCCCCACCCCCATCCGGTCCTGGGTGTGTGTTTCGTTCCGTTGGAGGCCGCTGAGCACTTGAAAGACGTGAGTGTCCCCTATCGTCCCAGTATCTTCTCGCCCTGCCCCTTGTTTTCCCCTCCCGCCGCCTCTGCCAGCTCTGTGCCCCCGTTGGTGATGTAAGCCGTGTCTCTTTCAAATGGAAATATTGTCACAGGGGATACGTTGAAAAGGATCAAAATTAAAACAATGTTTTATTCTTGCCTGTACCTTCTATGCCATGTTAGGAATCAAGGGGCAGGGTGTACCTCGATATTCCTTCTAATAGCTTGATGAAGTTCACGTCCGTATCCCCATTCTACAGGTAAGGAAACCGAGGCTTCAGAACCAGCCACAACGCACCCAGGTGCCCCCGAGGGGTGCATGGCAGAGCTGGGCTCGGCCCTGGACTCGGCCTGCCCCCAAAGCCCGTGCTCCTACGCCCCACCTCTTCTGCATTCCCCCTCTGAAATAATACGAGCCGAAGCAACTTGAACTTGTCAGTGCTGCTCCAACCTTAGTCAGCATTGGGTTGAGTGCTCACTCCCCTCGCCGGGTGTTGATGTGTCTGTGGGATCCGCATCACTGGAAGGTGTCTGTGCTTGTAAGGTGCTGAGGGTGTTGGGTCTCGGGGGCACATCTCTGATGTGAGGAGGGATGCACAGCAGCTCCCAGGAAGCGATGCTCTTGACTTTTAATCTGGAGCACAAGCAAAGCAATGGAAACAGCCACTCCTCGGATCTGGCTGAGAGGCAGCTACTCCCCCCGCCCCCTGGGGGCAGCAGAGACTCCCTCCCGCTTCGAGCATGCGTGCTAGAACAGAGAAGTGGCTGCAGCCCACAGGCAGCGCCCTGCGGGGAAGTGATCATCGTGGCCCATATTGCTCTTTAATGGGATTCGCTCCTTATGTGGTTTTTGCCTGCGACGCTTCGGCTGCCCCAACGAGGAGGAAGACTTGCACTTTCTCGTCACACCGTCACCCACCAGGAGGCGTGGAGTTGCCGTGCTGTGACCCCAGTGATTCGTTTCCTGCCTTGGGACATTGTAGTGGCGTGTTCTTTATCGTCACGACCCCCCCCCCGCAGCAAGTGGGGCGTTATATGGTACGGGGTGGGGGGGGTGCAGGGAGCGAGGGGCGTGAGGCATCCCGCAGATGTTCCGGTGGGGGTAGGTCGGCTGGGGTGAGAACTGTGGGGCAGACTCTCAGATCTGCTGCTTCCTGTCCGGGTGACTCTGGGCAAGACACTTGACGTATCTGAGCCCCTGCTTGTAAAATGGGGGAAAAACAAGTACATGCAGTTGACATGAGGGTCACATGAGAAAGAAGCAGCTAGTGGACGGCCCTGTCCACGCAGGCACCCAGTAGGTGGAAACAATGACATCCCAACAAATGAAAAACTGAGTTCTGCCACCACCTTTTGATGTCTTTGTGTAAGTCACTCTCTGAGTCTACGTTTAATATGAGAACCAGAACAATGCTTACGGGTACGGGTGGTGTCCCCCAAAAGAAATGTTGAAGTTGTGCCCTGGCTGGCGTAGCTCAGTGGACTGAGCTCGGGCTGCGAACCAAAGCAATGCAGGTTCGATTCCCAGTCAGGGCACATGCCCGGGTTGCAGGCCATGACCCCCAGCAACTGCATATGGATGTCTCTCTCTCTCTCTCTCTCTCTCTCCCCCTCCTTCCCTCCCTTCCCTCTCTAAAAAATAAATAAAATCTTAAAAAAAAAAAAAGAAATGTTGAAGTTGTGACTGAAGGTTCCTTGGAGGTGTGACCTGGTGTGGAAATAGAGGCTTGAAGGCCAACTAAGTTAAGATGAGGTCGTGCTGGATGGGGAGGACCCTGGTCCAGCGACGGGTGTTCTCATGAGAAGATGGGAATGTGGGCGCAGATGAAGTCGGGTGTCACGGGGAGGCCGTCCTGAGGAGGGGACACGGATTGGGGCGATGCGTCTGTAGGCCGAGGGACGCCGAGGGCGGCTGGCAGCCGGCAGGAGCGGGCAGAGAGGCCTGGAGCAGGCTCTCCCTCGGGGCCCCAGGAAGGAGCCCTCCCCGCCGCCACCTGGAGTTCAGACTTCTTGCCCCCGCAGCTGGGAGGGGATAAATTCCCGCTGTTTTCGTCCACTCCGTGTGCGGGAATTTCAGACGGAAGCCCTAAGAAACCGATGCATCTCCCATTTGGGGTTCTTAGGTTAAACGATGACTAAGTCGCTGGAGGATAAGAGCTGGCCCAGTGCCCGGCACGGGAGAGGCGCACTGAGTTCCAGACGTCTCACCTCCGGGCGGCAGGACTCGGGAACCGGACTCTGGAAGAGATAAACGACAGGAAAGCCTGTACCGTGTCCACCAGGCAAGGCAGTAGCCGGGTCACAGCAGTTCGTACGGGCGGTAACACAACCATTAACAAATAATAACACAAGAATAAACTGTGTCTCGTGTGCTTGCCACTGTAAACCCACTTTACCTACCCCTGTAGGTTTGTGGGTGTCAGTACCGAGATCCCCAAAACACAGGGCCTTAGTGAGTGAACACACCTGACTCTTCTACCTCCGCTCTCCAGCATGAGAGAGAGCCGCCTACTCCCGGGTGGTAGGGCACGGCCGTGAACTTGGAAGGTGGGGTTTTGAATCCTGTGGAGGTGCAGCAGTGGGGCGGGGGGAGGCTGAGAGAGAGAGAGAGGGAGAGAGAGAATTTGTTTTGGCTGCTCCGGGTTCTGAGAGCTGTTTGCAGTGGCGTGAGGGGTGGAAGCAGGTGCCAGAGTTTAAGGGGAAGAGAGCGGGGGAACGACAGAGGGAGGGCGAGCTGGCGACCACGTGCAACTCGGTGAGAAAGCGATGGAGGCTGGCGGGAGGGAGGCTGGCGGGAGGGAGGCTGGCGGGAGGCAGACAGGTGGGAGGGAGGCTGGCATGGGAAAGGCCCGCCCCTGACAGCGGCAGAGCCCGTGCAGGAGACCAAATGCAGGCTCGCTAACTATACGGCTCCGTGTTTAAAAATCAGATGTGCTCCACCCTCCTGCCACGAGGAGCCAGCCGCCCTCCTCAGACCCCGGGAGGCGGGCAGGTGTGAATTTCCAACTCTCAGAGCCCCGGGCACTCTGCTCTGGAACACGATGGCTCAGGGACATCTGGAGAAGGGCTGAGGCTGCCCTGTCTCCGCCCACTGCTGGCTCCGACCAGCAAGCTGCTGCCCTTGGCTGCCTGCGGTGTCGGTAGGACAGTGCAGCTCACCTGCAGGACAGCGCAGCTCACCTGCAGGACAGCGGGCCAAGGGGAAGGTTTCGAGCAGCCCCTGTAAGCGTGCAGGGGCCACCGGGGAGGGAATTCCGGAACACTTGGAGCTCTGTCTAAAAAAGGCGGTGGGGACTTGGGGTGGGCGCATCCCCTTGGCTTCTGTCCCATCACCTGGGAGGAGGGACTGAGCCAGGGGAAGGCCACAGCGGGGCCTGAGCTCTGGGACCTCAGGGTCCCCAAGCAGGGGGCAGGGACAGGGGCAGAGCCGGAGCTATCCTGGCGGGACTCCCAGCGGGATGCAGGGGAGGGGGAGGGGTACCTGGGGGCGCAGGCGGAGGCCGGGGAAGGCTCGGAGGCCTGCGGAGAACTCGCCTGGGCTCTGAGATCAGCCCGCTAGGTCCTCAGTCCCCTCGGGCAGGAGAGCGGCCCTCCCACGTGCGAGGAAGCTGGGGAGCTCGTTTTCTCGGTCTGACGCTATTTTCCAGTGCTGTGCGCCCTCTGCCACATCCTGTGACGTCACTCGTGGAAGGGCCGCTTCAGGTTTCAGGGCGAGAAAGGGGACTGCGGGCCGGCCAGCCGGGGAGTTCTTTCTTCCAGGAACCAGGCCTCTCGGGGCTTGTTTTGGGGAAGCAGCTTTCAGGCGCCGCCGCTGCAGAATGAGACCGTGCAGCGCCCTCCCTCGCCCCCGGTTTGGGGGTGACCTCGGACGGCTCGAGACCGACACACTGCCTGTGGACGGTGTGGCTGGTGTTAACAAGTCACACGTGGCCCGGTGTCCGGGATGGAAGTCCCAGGCTGCTCCCCCTGGGCGTGTCCACAGCGTCCTTGCAGCAAGACCAGGACGTTGCCTGGACACCTGGGGTCACGGCCGTCCACCTGCGGGGCCCTCCTGCCGCCGCCCCAGGCTGGGGAAGGAAGCATCCGTGGCTGCTTCTGCCTGACACTGTGCATCCTCGGGACCATTCACTTGCAACAGATGTCAACCTTGAAAGCACGTGAACACGGCCGTTCGACAGGCTGTTGTTGGTTGAGCAAGCGCGGTTGCCAGACGCAGGGGGACGCCTGTGGTCGTCTGAACCTTTCCTCCCGCCCTCTTCACCGTCAGCTCCACGGGCGCGGATGGAGAGCACAGGCCTTCCCTCTGAGCGCCGGAGGCTCTGGGCCACCGCCCCTCGGTCCAGAGCCAATGCATAAGGGCTCACTGGCAGTTGGCGGGAAAACTCCATTACATCGAAGCGTGAGCACAATTAATGTTTTTGTGAGTGTCGACAAATTGCCCTCCTGAATTGAGGAATCCATGGATATGTGCTTGAGAACTCCCACTCCTGGCTGCCTCCCAAATGCCATTCTTTTTTTCTCATTTTTTTTTAGTTATGCTGAGGTGTGATCGACACACAATAATAAACCACACAAACTCACCACTGTTCTTTTAAATCGTCGTTCCGTGTCCGGGACATGAGGCCTCCCGGATCTAATTCCCCGCTGTAATTACCAGTGGGGGCGGAGCATCTCAGCCTGTGGCCATCGAACATTATTTTATGTGTTGTCTGTTTCATCACCCATTTTCCACTTAATTGTTAGTCTTTCTCCTAAAGACTGATGGCAGCTCCTCATGCACAAACCTGTGTTTGGACAAGCCATTAAACCAGAGTTCAAGTGAGGGTGTCGGTGTCCTCCCCAAGTGCTTGGCTGACTTCAGAGCCAAGGGCGGCCCTGTCTGGGACTGCGGCACCCTCCCCTCACGTGAGCAAGGGCCCAAGGGGAAAGAGGACACCATCTGGGGAGGCAGCTCTGGGTCACCGCACTCGTCAGGGCTCCCCCCAGAGGAACCCAACCAGCAATACACACACACACACACACACACACACACACACACACACGTTTGTTGATTGGCTGCCTGATCGTAGGCAATTAGCTTGCCTGATTGTGGGGCTGGCAAGGCAAATCTGAAACCTGGAGGACAGGCCATGAGGAAGAGCCAGTACCGCCAGCCACAGGTGCAATTCCTTCGTGCTCAAGAAAACCCCAGTTTTGCTCTTAAAGCCTT